CCTTCCTTCCTTCCTTCCTTCCTTCCTTCCTTCCTTCCTTCCTTCCTGTGTTCTCAGGAAATGTTTTCAGAAGCACTGTGCGAGCAATGAGAAGAGAGCATTTCATAATAAAAAAACCTTAAAACAGCTCCAAGCAAAACATAGACCCTTATAAGGTAAACAAAGAGAAAAACAACTGAAACATTGAATCAGACAAGTCCGGACAAGAACAGGGCAGAATAAGGTTACACCCAGGTTTTAATATTTATGAGTATGAGGTAATCATCTCCATAGACATGCAGGAAATCCTGAACCAACTCCAGCCCAAAAAAGGATGGACTAGGCGGGAGGCATGGTCTTTCGGAGGTGTCAATCAAAAACCTCACACTATAAAAATAGACTGCCCTAACAAACTGGGCTGTTGGACTATCAGAGGGTGTGGATGTACAGGACAAGTTCTGGACGGTTCCAGCTGAGGAAGAAGAAGGGCAGATCTGAAGGGAAGGCTTCATTTGGAGTTACTTTTCCTCCTCAGCCCTGATTACCTGAACCCTTTTCTTCAAATTCTGACCAGCTGTAGGACCAGGGACGGCCTCATTCAACAGTGGGTGAGGTAATCTGCTTCTTACTGAGCCGGAATTTTCAGGAATTCTATCAAAAGGCGATGGTAAGGAGACCTCTCCAAGATAGTGTCCTTTATCAATTTTTATCTCAGTTCAGAGCGGTAGCTCACAAAATTGCAAGCAGAGAAATTGATTACATATTGGGTTCCATTGCTTGGAGTTGCAGAAAGTTTGTAGTGGGGGTGAGAGATAAAATATATTGGATCAGGTTGTGAGTTGGAAGAGATCGTGGAGGGTTTTGGAGCGTTTTAGTGAGTCAGGACGACCTAGGAATTCCTAGGGCGTGGCCGGCCAGAAGGAAAACAGCTGAGGCTGAACAGAGCGAACCTATAGCTATCCTCCGGCTCCTCTTAGGAACAGAAAACTACTTTGCCCAGGAAAGATCAACCTCTGGAATATAACTAAAACTCTGAGTATTAATCACTATGCATCCTCTCTGTAATCAAATGTAATCACTGTGTTGGATTGCGCTGTTTCCCCTGCAAAATCATTAATTAAAGCAAAGCAAAATGTAAAATTCTGGATTCTTATTTCAACACCCCTTTGTTAATGGAAGTGGAAACCTTGGTTCAATGAAACAACAGAAGCACAGGAGGTTTTTAAAGATTTCGTAGTTTTGATTATAAAACAACATCCATGAATCTTACACCTAGATTCTAAACAAAGCCAGATCGGATAACAATTGCAACGCTAAATTAGGAGATGAGCTGTCGTGAACGTGCACTTCCTCGTCTGTCCAACGTCCCCACTCCTGCTGCTAGGTCGGGCGAGACACGAGGTGAGATTCTGGGTGTGGTGCACGGATAGTAGGTAGTTAACAGTCTGGGTGAATCATCTCAACACAGCCTTAGACTAAGCTGTCCTGGAAAGTAGCTACGGGTAATACTTGAGCCTCAGGATTAGTTTCAGACCCCTTGGAAAAGAGAGGCTGCAGTGAGGGCGTGGCACATGTCCTATGTCTACCTCACTCGGGAGAGCACAACAAGGGACACCGTTGATCCACAGATGGAGTCCAGTGGAGAGATGAGATCCT